GTAGCTATAATTCAATTTGTCTGTTTCATGCATTATCAAATTTACTATTGCACTTTAAACCAAGGCTAGTTAAGGTGATGTTTGGTATCCATACTAAATTCTCAAAAATCAGCGCCACATCGAAGCTATATGGGATACATAAGAATTGGTGATTTTTCAATTTATTTGGTTGGTTAATTTTTATGATTTTTGAGAAATTGTCCAAAGAAAAGGACTTTTAAAATCAGCTCATCTTGAAGGATCAACAGTTTTGGTGATTCTCGGAATTGTAAAGAATGACATGGCATCCAATATATCTCTAAAAAATGATTCCAAAAAAAAAATACACCCTTAAGAATCAGTACCAAACAAACTGCTTATGTTACATAAATGATACCAAACTATAATATTTTATAATTTTTCAAAAATCATTATTCCAGAAATCGGTGGCCTGGTCTACTCGAAGGAGGTGGGCCCTCTCATAAACATAAGATGGTGTCTCGAATGGAGGAATATGTGGGATACAGAGTAACGAGGCCAGAGAAATCAGGAAAGAGCAAAGGCCCAAGGGTTTTGACTTCTGTGGTTAGATTTTTCTTTTTTAAAATAAATAACGACGGGATGGGAGGGGTTTAATGACGTGGTAAATGACAAGCAACACGTGTAAAATGTTAAGATGACAGTTCAGCCCGCACTTGATTCAGTCCACATAACTCTTAAACTCTGCCCAGAACAACCAAATTACCATAACTATCCTCGTGTTTCAAGGGAAATTACTAATTTTATTCTCTCATTTTTTATAATAATTAGTTTAATTAATAAATAATGATACTTTTCAATTTTTTTTCTCTAAAAAATTATTGAAAATTGGAAGCACCAAGGCTGTAGATTGGTGAATCAATTTTACAGTTGGCAACGAGCTGAGCTTTTCACGAGCTGTTCGAACTCGGTTCGGTTTCAACCGAGCTTTGAGTCGAGCTCAAGTCCAATTCACTGGTTCAATTATGAAACGAGCCGAGCTCGACTCATGAGGCTCACAAACCGGCTTGAATATAT